TGCTCTGGAATTCCAGCCTGGGACCATGCCTGCGTCATCACCCTGCTCTGGGCTTTGAAGACATGGATGGCAATCCTCTCCTTTTTGTGTGATTGAAGTTGCTGTTGTCATGCCTGACCCCAGGCAGGTTCATGAAGCCCAGCCTGGCATCCTGTGTTTTCATATGGCTCCAAGCAGTCGCTCTGAGCAGTCAGCCCTCCAGAAGCAGGGTCCCCAGCACAGGAAATAGCATGGAGAGCCCTGCTGGGGGATGTGTGAATACACAGCTTTGGATAAGAGGAACCCCGCCACTGAAGACCTACTGTCCCTCTACTGAGTTCTGAACCACAGCAGGTGCTCAGAATGGAGAAAGACTCACTCCTCCATCCCATTCCACTCTACAGGAACTAAGAAACCTGAACCAACCCCACTAATTCCATCTGCTGAGCCTGGTCTTCTAGAACATAAAACCAATGGGGTCCTGGGGGACAGCAGTTCTTTCTATATTTGTTAGGAGAGTGCAAGGACTGGGGCCCATGTCTTCATACCTGATGGTATCTCGTTAGACTCTGCAGAAAAAATAGCATTTAGGTGAACATGGATGGGGACAGGATGGGGCTTGTGATCAAGGAGCCCAACTTGAAGAAGGACCATCTCAAGGCCACAGCAGAGCCATTAAGTGCCCGGGCTCAGAAGCCAGTCAGCCAGGCCTATATTTAAATCCAGATGTACGTGTAACAGTGGGGCAACTTGAGCAAGTTACCGCACACTCCCAACCCTGTTTCCTCATCTGCTCAAATGGAGATAAGGGAACAGGAAGAGCATTAAAAGAGATGATGGATGGAAAGGGCAGACACACTGCCTGCAGCTCACTAAGAACTCGGTTAACACTAGCAATAATGATTTTCATTTATGCTGGGACCTTCCCATGAGAAGCAGACTTAGGTTGTGACAGAGACACTACATGTCCATATAATTCAATTTTAATTTCCACTTTTTAAGTACTATAGACTTGAAGACTATCCAGGAAGTTAGGTTGGGGTCAGGTGACATGAGTTCTGGCCAATGGGATGTGGGCACAAATGATGTATACCACATCCAGGCCTGACTCTTAAAAGATCTTGACTCCCCCTCATCTCCCTGGCCGGACATGAAGGACCCAATGATGGCAGAACCACAGGACAGAAGAAGCTCAGATCCCCCAGTGTCTGCATGGAGACAACATGATGAGAATGGCCAAACCAGTATCGAACTTGGTGAGAGTAAGAAATCATTGTTTATCATATTGAGCCACTGACATTTCAGGGCTTGTCACGTTAGCATAACATAGTCTATCCAGATGAATTCACCAATGAAAACGAGAGCACAGGGAGTGGAGGGGGAGCCAGCCGATCAAAAAATCGTGGATATTCCCAGTCAGGTAGAAGAGGGCAGTGTAAACTTTTCATCAGTAGAAAAGTAACTGTCACAATTTAAAGACAAACCTGATGGCTCAGTTTCTGCACAGTTCCCTACTGGAACCAGACAGCTGTGATATTGTGGGGCAGGGCTTTGTGACATGAAACCCTTACTCTGCACTTTCTGATCTTTACAGAGTATCCCTGCTGCTCCACTTCCATGTCCCAAACTTTGCATGACTCTGTGGATGAAAAGCATCCTTTCCATAGATTTCAATAAACTGGCAGTGAACTTCTGCAGTGGAAACAGATTCTCATTTAAAATGCACGTCATGGCATGTATCTCGTCTGGGGACCACCTGCCGAAGGAAGCAGCCATTTGTAATTAAGGGTATGAAAAGTCATGATTACAGCCAGTCCACATTAGGACGGCACCACATGTGTTTGGCAAAACACCACGCTCCCTGGACCCGGGTTGTCCTGTGCCAACAAGCCAGAAATTAACCCTGTAAAAGTCTGTTTGGAAGACACAAGGGCCTTGCATATGCTCTTCTTGCTGCCTGAAATGCTCACTCTTCCTATAGCTGGTTCTTCATCTTCAGACCTCTGCCCAAAAGTCACCTCTTCAAGATGCCTTCCCGGACTACTCTTCATGCAAGATGTACTCCCCTCCCTTAATTCTTTATCTCTGCACCCCACCCATTTCTTTCACAGCATTTATTACAATCTGTTATGGAGGCAGGGGCAGGCTTTGTTGACTTATTTATTATCTGTTTCTCTCACTAGACCTAGGTAGCCATGAAATCTACCCCATCTCTAGAATTCCAGGTATATGAACTAATAAAGCCCTTGTAGTGTTTAAACACGTTTCAGCTGGGTTATCTCATATTTTAGCTGATTTTACAAACAGCTTTCCTCTCTATAGCATTATATTGTTGTCTTCCTGAAACTAGCTGTAACAATTTAAAATCTTCTATGTGTCAAGCCCTATATTAGGTACATTCATTTAATTTTCACAGTAACTCAAAGTTAGGAATGATCTAATGCTATTTTATAGCTGAGACCCAAAAGGTGTAACTTTTTCTGTTGGCTCTGCATCCCTTCTGTTGCGAGAGCTGCCTTCCCCCACTGTGTGACTCTGAAGGAGCTGTCATTCAAGCATACCACAAGGCGGGCACAAGCTCTGGGCTGGCCAATCAGGGCATGTTTCTACCTGGATTCTGTGACTGGGCCTGAGAGAGAAACATACATGATCCCAGCAAAGCCAATCACAACGCTTCCTTGGCTCATAAATGCTAGGATAGTAAGAATCTATCTCTGACTCTAGGATCACACACTAACAGGACCTATTACCCCATTACTACCAAGAGCTCTCTTGTGGCCATGCAGAGAAAGCCTGAGAATGAAATCCACATTAGTGGGAATGAGTGAAAAAGAGGCCGATGATACCACTTGAACCTCTGGATCCAGCTGTGCCTGAGACATACACTCCTTTGACTTTACATGAAGCAGTAAATTGATCTGGATCCTTAGCATGGTCTGAGTTGTGTTTCTGCCACTTGCCACTGAATAAGGATGACGTGAGCACCATGTAGAAGCTCAATGAGTGTAAATTCTCTCAATTTTCCTCATTAAAGTGACCATTCCCCATTAGCTTCGCCAATCTATCAGTTGACATGCCACTGGTGCCACTCCAGCCAGCCCTATTTCCTCACTGCCCCTTACATGTCATATTTGGTCCATCCCATGTGCCACACACATCCTATTTCCTCAATCTGGCTGCAGAATTATGTCTTTCCAAAGGGATTCACGTTTACATAGACTTCCCCTTAGTCCCTTACCCTGAAAATGACTGACAGGCCCATTTGCTAATAGTGGAGGGGAGCCACAGCGAGAATTAAGAGCCTCCAAGCTAGGCAGATTGCCTTTAAAATGACCAAAGCCCATAAATATTGCCCTGTAAAGAAAGGACTATGGTTTCCCTTTCATGCTGAGTTCTATACTCAAAGAAACTCCATAGACATTCTCTCAATCCTTCACAGCCCTGTTAACAGTTGGGTAAGGCAGCAAGTAATATACCCATCAGACAGCTGAAAAGCCTGAGGCCAAGGCTATATAAAGCAATTTGATGTAATAGCAATCAAGTTCAAACTGCAAACTGGAATTCCCCCTGCCTCAGCCCAGCTTGAGAGGCATGGTCATGTCCTAATCTAGCAGGCCACAATTTATAAGCACCAATTCTCCAATCTTCTACCATGGCCACTACCTAATGAATTTAGCCAATTAAGCCCCATCCTTATTAGGTTGTCAGATAAAATATAGAATGCCAATTAAACTTGAATTTCAGATCATCTTTCCTTTTCAGTATAAGCCTACCCCAAATATTGCATGAGGCATACTTACACTAAAAAAGAAAACGTAATCTATTGTTTAACTATAGATTGTGTCCTGCAGTTTTATTCGCCAAACGTAACCATACTACATCAGACATTCTCCTGGGGGACCAGGTAAAGAGTCAACGATGCAATTTCCTTGGGAAGTCAGGCTTTTCTGGCATCGATCTCCCAACACTGCTCCAGTACAGAGCGTGACTCCCTACGGTTTGATTCGAAGACAGGGTTTGATGTCATTTGCTATTGTGACTGGGACCCTGAACTCCAAATCTCCCCATTAGTCATCCTTCTTCCCAAGAGTTTTCTGGAGGTCTTTGTGCAAAAGGAACAATGGCAAAATGGGGTTTGGGATGCCACCTTATTACAGGCAGAGCCTCGGCCTTCCCCATTAGGAAACGGGGCAAGCAGATCTTGGACTCTGAGCAATCAGATTAGGGATTTGTCTGCCCTTAGGATAGAAGGAGGTGCCAAGGATGGGGGCAGGCTGCGGCGCAGACTGAGGAACTGGGGAAGCCGAGGCTGGGCACAGAGTGTGGCTGTGTTAACCTCTGAAGCCCTCTCTAGCCCAGGCTGAAGGCACTGGGTCAGTAATCTCCTTTGAGAACCAGAACTGAGAACATGTAAATCTGAAAGTTACCTGATAAGCCAAGGTGGGTATTAGATCAGGAAGAAGAAAGCCAGGCTACAAAAAGAGAAGAATAAAGCTGATGTGCAGAGAGGAGCAGAAAAGAGGGCCTGCCGTTTTCTAAGGTCCCTCGTCTCCAGTTCCTGGTTCCAGCTGCACTGCCCACTGCTTCCCATCTTCTGAGAACTTCGAATAAATTCCCCTTCTGTGCTCGAGCTAGCTTGAGCGGGTCTCTGTTGCTTACCCCGATTCTGTCACTTATTTAACTGAAAGAAAAACAACCAAAGAAAGAAGCCAGGTCCCAGTTTGGTTCAGTTCATTGCAATTTATTTAACTTAAAAATAAAAACAGAAACAAAAACAAAACAGAAATCAGTTTCCAATGAAAATGCAAACACTTTGGGTGGTTATCCAGCTTTTTGTTTGTTTGGTTTTTTGTTTTTGTTTTTTTGTTTTTGTCCCTGTAGGCTGTCCTGGGCTCAAACCAATCGAGTGAAAACCAATTTTGACTGGAGCCATAGAGCATGTCGCACCAATTAAATTACACCAATATATTATTATAATACCTTTGAAATGCCTTTCAGACCAATAAATAAGAAAAGACAAATTCAAATAAAAAAGTCAACTTTTTATTACCAAAAAAAATAGAAATTAAATAAAAGTCACAACATGGATTTTTTTTTTCTTAAAAAAAAATGTGCAGTCAAGTTTCTCTCTCTTTTTTTTTTCTTCTAGGAATGATACCAAGCCAGTTAATCCCTACAGAACATTTCCAGTTTGGCAATAAGCAGTCAGTCAATCATTCACATTTGTACTCAAGACAGCAGGCCCGGGCGACACTCACCTGAATTTCACCCTGAAAAGTGCTCCCTGTCATCTGAAGCAGCAGCACCTTATAACAGGGATAGAAATTCAGCGAGTTCTTAGCATTTTCATGTCGCCTGGGGTCTTGAAGCACTTCCTGAAAACTGATCATGCCTTGAAATCTACCTGTAAAAAGAAGTATCATTCTACTCCTTTGGCAGACTTGTAAACTAAGACACTGAAAGGCCCACGGAGGCAAGGAAGGGACCAGGAGAGCCGACACCGCATCCCCTGCCTGGTCCACCAGGTCATAAAAGTGTCTCCCACTTGTGATTCCGTGGAAATGCATCAAGCACGACCTCCTTGGCTGGGGATTGGCTGGTAGGGATGGTAGGACTTAAACAGGAAGCAAGGAAGTTGCTTTTCTGGGCTTTTCCCTCTACTCCAAGGTTTTCCTTGAAAAGACAGAGCCAACATCACATCTAGAATCCAAGGATTTAGCAGAATGTCAGCACCAGGCAGGGCGTGAGCGACCAGCTAATCTAGCCTTCCAGCTCTCAACGAAGGGAAAACTTAGTGCCCAAAACTCTGCAGGTGCCTAAGGCCACCAGCTAGTTAGCAGCGCACTAGGACTCCACTCAGAATCTCTGCCTTTGAGTGGAGGCCTGTCTTTGCTAGAATCCAGTCTGGGTTTATTGACAAAAAAGAACATACATGTGTGTTTCTCCCTTTTTTTTTTTTTTTGTTGGGGGGGGAGATGAGAATGGTTTTCCTTAATGGTGTCATTTTTATTTAAAAATTAGAAGGCTGGAAAATACTTAACAGAGGCAATCACTTGGCAGAAGGCAAAAAAAAAAAATCAACCCATAGCTAGGTGTTATTCCTGAATCACACTGACAGCTACCAACGGGCCGGTTGCCATGCATGGGGACCGGCAGCATGGAGGCCCTGGGTGCTCAGAAAAGGCTGCATGAAACGAGATAAGGAGCAGGGAGTCCGAGGTTGCAGAATGCCCTCCATGCACCCACACACCCTCCACACACAATTTGCCACCTACAGAATTTTTTTCCCTTTTGAACCTATAATGGAGCTCAGGAAGGAGGTGGAATTGAATGAAAGGAAACCGGGAAGCTTCCCACAATACATTACTTAGCTCAACCTGAAGGGAGTGCGCAAGCCAAAACCCCACAGCTGGTGGCAAAGGGGAGAAAGGCAGTCATGTCCTCGGGGAAAGGGCGGCTTCATTCTAATGAATGTTCTTAGTGCCTTAAGGTGAATTCTTTCCCATCTCCATGTGAGCCATTGCCTATTGGTTTTCCCCAAAATGCCAAGACGCCAGCCCTCACATACTATTTCTAGGTGGCTACCAGAAGTCTGCCATGTTAAACCAAAGGTTTCAACTTCCCCAGGCCAGTAGAATATGAAGTCATCCCAAATTCACAAATAAGACCACTAATCCCAAACCCAGTATCTAAGGATGTCCCACTGTGGGAGCGATGTCTCGTCACCTGCAATCTGGGTGTCCAGAAGTTAAATACCTAGTCCGGTTGCTTTTTAAGATAAGAATCCTATCACATGGCTCCTCCGCCTCCTCCAGAACCACATGGGTGGCTTTTAGGGAAATGTCTCCTCCTCTGTGTGTTTCCTCCCACCCACTCCGCTCTTTCAACACCTTATTCGCTTGAATGGATGAAACATTCTTCGCCCCCAAAGCCCAGGAGTTCACACCCATGGCACTGAATGCCTAGATCTGGGGGGAAGCCCCTTCTGCCTGACCTTCCTTTCCTCACCCAAATATCCCACCCACACACTAACTCCCTAGAAGCAAACTCGCCTACCTCCGAGGATCCCACATTTGGTGGGTAGGGAAACCGTCTGCTATTACTAAACAGGGTCAATGGGTGAGCCAGTTGCTCCTTTGGGGACTATGGACAGTACTGCATCCAATTCAGAGCATTCGTGCAGGTGAGAAGGAACCCAAGAGGCGGCATTCCAGTTCAAACTGAGATGTTAAAGAAATCGGTAAGTTGCCCTGTTGCTGGTGTGGGTCAATTTCCATTCATCCATGCAAGGACCACAGAGTCCCAAGCTCTATTATACACCGAGGTTTTGACCCCTGACACTGCCATCCTTTCCCCATCCACCCTTAGGAAGTTGTGCTGAAGAACAAGGCAGACATCTGGGAAGAAGCCAAAAAATCACTATGGGCTGACTCTAAGTCCTTAGCCAAGTTCAGAGCCTTTTCTCTCTGACCAAGGCCCTGTCTTCCATTCAAGGTAGCAAATTAACAAATGCCACACCAGTAGCATTAAAAGATAACACAGATCCCACAGGATGCCCTAACCTAATTCCCAGGCGCCTTGCCAGGTCAAGGATGGCAACTATGGCATCAGTGCTACCGCCCCTATTCCCATCCCCACGGCAGCCATGACTGTTTGATCACAGCACTGCTTCCCATGTGCCTTACTCACACCAGCACAGCCAGCAGCCACTACCAATCAATCACCGATTCAAGTGCAGGTTGCTGAAATCTATTTGCCAACCCCATTCTGCCAGACCAAGCTTGCTAAAGTGAGGAGAGAAAAAGCAAGCTCCGAGCTCACCCAAAGCAGATGGCCCCAGTCTCTCCTGTCCCTCCTCCAGAAGCATTTGGACAACTTCTAGGGAAATGCTCCCTCTCCCATATGCTTCCTCCCCACTCCCTAAGTGCTGGCCAACACCACCTCCCCTGGACAGCTGGTCCTCTAGGAGGTGCCATAAAGCCCATGCCAATTAGGACCCAAATTCTGACTGGCGGTTGACAGGACTGGCAGAGAGCCCACCTGCTGGCTCGAGGCTGCAAACTAGGCCAAGCAAGATGGCACCAACCCTTTTTCTGTCGATTATCATGGCCAGCAAAGAGGTAACCAGCTGGTCAGCACAAGTCATTACTTCCCTTCCTCCCTGGTACCCACCCCCACCCTGCCCCCACACCCTGGGGAGCTAGTTGAGTTTGTTGCAGATCTCCAGCGCTTTCTTATAGACCTGAGTCACGTCATCCATGTCCGTGAGGAGGGAGAAGCTGCTGTCTCCCAGCCGGTTCCGGTACCGCTTCAGGTACTGGGGCCGGGGCCGGTTCTGGAGCCCCTCAAAGTCCTGGATCTGGAGGAAGTTTTCGGCAGAGACGCAGCTGCGGATGCGCTGGCGGGCAGGGCGATTCTCCTGCAAATCCAGCAGGTCAAAGGAGTCGCTGGACAGGACACTGTCATCGCTGATGATGCTGGAAGGCCGGCTGTAGCTCCGGGAGAGGCCCTCCCCAGAGGGGGCGCTGGGCTCCAGCAAGGATTCCAGTGTGGGCATGTCGGGGCTGGCGAGGGCGGGGTCCGCGGCGCCTGTGGAGTACTTGCTGCTGTGTTTCAAGATGCCCTTCCTGCGGCAGGAGAGGCTGTGGGCAGTCGCCCGGGCTGGGTCCGGAGGGCTAGGGGACGGAATGCCGCTGCCCATCCCGTCGTTACTGTCCAGCAGCTCCGAGGACTCACTGCGCTCTGGGGAGGAGTAGTAACCCGATTCTCTCTGCTGCGTCTTTTTCAAGATGCCTTTCTTGGGCATGGTGGCTGACTGTTTGGGGCTGAGTTTACCTGGCACCTCTGCCTCAGGGGAGCTCGGGAGGGGCATGCCAGTCCGGCACAGGTCCTGCTCCATCTTGAAAGCAGAGGGTAAGGCAGGACCGACGACACCTTCGATGAAGCCGGTGCTGTGAGAGCGATGCTCGCTGTTGCTTCGCTTCTTCAGGATCCCCTTGGGTCTCTTGGAACTCAGCTTGGATGGGCTTTCGGGCACCGAGTCCTGGCCAGACTGGGCAAAGTCATTCTCTTTCTTGGACTTCTTCAGCGACCGCTGCCGCTCCAGCATGACCTCCGAAGCCCCGGGTTTCACCAGGCTCTTAATTTTGGCTTCAGTCTCAGCCTGTAGCCCCGTAGAACGGTGGTGCCAGTCGATAATCCGAGCCAGGAGTGGGGACTCGGAGTTGTGAAGGGCATCGCAGTCACAGACGCTGCTCTTGTAGCCCCAGTTCACCCACCAGTGGTTGGCGATGTCCTCGATGGTGGCCCGGCGATCAGGGTTCACCATCAGCATCCACCGAATGAGTCCTCGAGCATCTATGGGACAAGTAAAAAAAAAAAAGGAAGATGACTTAGTGGGAGCTCCGGGCTTTGTGATAGGGGTGACACTCCAGAAACGGCTAAGGAGGTGTGCTCACCTTTGGAAAACTCCAGCTAGAGTCCTAGTCCAGCCAAAGTCTTCCAGACTGTATCATCAAAAGCATCATCAAAACTCAGAACCACAGGCCCGTGCGCCATCCCATCCTGGCATGCTTCTCCCACATGAGTGAAAGAATCTCATGAACCACCGAGCGCTCCATCAACTCCAGTCTTTATAAAATGGGCAAGGCCGGTACCCGGGAAAGAATCCAGACCCAGCCCCTCGCAGGGCCCCACCACTCCTTTGGGGAATATCATTTCACCAAAAGGGAAAGCAGGTATGGATGACCACGGCTCTCTTCCGTCCTCCAAAGGTAGGCTTGTATAAAAACACACAGAGCTCAGGGTCACTGGGAAAGTGTGTCGGCACGAAAAGGAAATTTAGGGCTGAGATGACGAGGAAAAGGCTCCTCCCCAGAGAGGGAATGACAGAGAAGGGTGGAGCGACGCTCAGACCTGGCACACCTGGGGAGTGAAAGCGGCCATGCCCAAGGCCGGCCTCGGCCAGGTTCTGTGCCCCACGCCCCATGAGCTCACCTCCTTTCCCTCTGACATAAGCCATAGCATGCTGAGCTGTCAGATCGGGGAGCTGACCTATGTCTGCTATCAGCTTACCGCCCGTCTGAAAAACTCCATTTGCAAACCTCGGCTGCCAGAGAGTGAGGGGAAAGCCCCAAAGGGATGTCGAGGAGGCCACAGGAGCCACAGGACTCTCACAGCTTATAAACTGACTTTAAAGATCACACTGTGCTTCCCCAATGGGGACCGAATTATATCGGGGGAAGGCGCCACTTCCCCGCTACCGCGCCACTTACGTGAGCTAATGAGTAGTTCACAAGCCCCTGGCAAGGGGGCCAGGGGTGAGGTGCACCCCTGAAAAGTGACATACTCAAGCCCTGTATTCCCCTGAGGAACAAGGCTCAGTGCTCACAAACTCAGTGTTCACAGCAATTTTATAGAACGTAACTACCAATAATGAGAACAGCCTATGTGTGTCTGTGTGCATACATACAGAGTACGTATGCGTGTGTACACACACACACACACACACACACATATATGGTATCTGTGTTCATTATATTCCCTGAATGCCTGGCACACGCCCTTTCCCTCCACACACAGCTCTCTCCCATCGAGAGATGGAGCTTAGGGTTGCTTTGACTAGTGGAACATGGCAGAAGTGACATTATCTGGCTTCCAAATGCAGGCATTAAGAAGGCCTGGCAGCTACTCCTTCCTCCTCCTCAGAGCCCTGAGCTGCCACGTAGGAAGTCCAGGCGCCCTCCCAGACTGAGCAGCCTGGGGAGACACCTCAAGGAGAAGGGGCCCACGTGGAGGTGTCCCAGACGCAGCTCCAGCCCCCGCCGCCACCTGACTACAGCTGCTGGAGAAATCCCAGGCACAGCCAGAAGAGCTCTAGCCCACCCAGGGAATCAAGAGACATGCTTACTTGCTTGTTGTTTAAACCACTGAGTTTGTTGGGGGGAAGGGGTAGAGCTGTTAAGCAGCAACAGGTCATGAAACAGCAGCACCTACACATCACAGCCCCCCCCCCCCAGCCAGGGCACAGTGATGAGGAAGAGCAGTGGTCACCCTCAGGGCACTTACAGTCTAGGGAGGGTGCTTTGTATGGCTCGGAAGAGACTTCCTGTAATAACTTTACCCAACTTTTCATTTTTAGTGGAGAAACTGAATCCAAACATAGGTATTTGCCCAGGTTCACACAGCAAGCAAACGGGACCGCTAGCCTGCCTGCCATGTAGAACGCTTGTTTGGACAATTTCATCTGGGAAAGTTTGGGTAAAGCAGCCTAACAAGCCAGCTTTGCCAGAAGTCAAAGATCTGAACAAACAAAAGTGGGAAAGTGGAGGACTCCTTCCAGACAACAAGCAGAAGCAGAAAGTGTGAGTGAGGGCAGGTACGCACCGCTCCCACTCAACCCCTGACCCACCCCCAGCACGCACCTGAGGGCTGCGTGGGCTCCCGGTACTCTCCGCTGCTGATCTGCCGGATGAGGTTTTTGTGATCGAAACCATCGAAGGGCATTGTTCCATACACGAGAGTGTAAAGCAACACGCCCAGGGCCCAGCTGTCCACCTGGAGTGGAGAGATAGGACATGCAGGAGCTGGGAAGCGGAGTCCGGACGCCTTCCAGACCCTCCGCATCCCAGCGTGTGAGCAGCCAGCCCCCGTGACCCCAGGCACTGAATTCAGCACCTGGCAGACAGGTTCCCCTGGCAGCCTGACAACTGATAGGCAGGACAGCGGGGCATTTCCAGTTCAGACCAAGACCCATGGTCCCAGCCTACATGAGAACTCCCTCAAATAGAGAATCTTCTTTGATCCTCACCACAATTTTGAGAAATAGGTGGGGTCTGAATGACTCTCACCCCCCACTTGACAGATGAGAATACTGAGGCACAAAGACCTCAATAGTTTCTCCTCCCACCCCAATGATGGGGGTCAAGGCTGGGATGGGGGGCTCTTCCCTCCTGATCTAGGAATCAATTCCTTCCCGTACCGTCTTCAACTGGATCGGGCAGTAAACCCAAATGCTTGCAGGAGCCAGGCAGACAACACATGTGAACAAAACAAGAGGGAACTGGGGACAAAGGCGTGGAGGGCGGGGTACGAGACAGACTGAGGAGTCCATTCACCCACCAGCACGCAGCCTCCCCTTGGCTAACTGCCGCCTCATAGTGACGTGGGCCCCGCACTGCTGGGTCCTTTGAGTTTTCAAGAGAGGTCATTAACCAGACTTTTATGTGAAATCTCCTAGTTATTAAATGTTCGCTCATTTTTTTTTTTTAGCAAGACCACTATGGCCAAATAAAGCATGCTTGATGGCCAGATCCCAGGCTGCCAGCTTATAACCTCGGAAACAGATCCTCGAAGATCAAAGAAGCCTTCATTATCTATGATAAATTTACAGTGTCAAGTTTCTACAGTTTTGTAAATGGAATCCGATGCTCCTCCCTCACATTCCTACTTCAGAAAGACTTCCTCTTCACTGTAATTGGCAGAGGCTCCTGGCATCCTTCTCTGCAGCCTCCAGCCCTGCCTCCAAACACTCTCAAACAGATAAATATTTGGAAGGACACATTTCAACCCAGTGAACAGCTGCTATTTAAGGAATACTGAGTGGATGAAATCTTTCTGTACAGAGAACTGTCTTTTTTAAAGAAAATAGTCACTCACAACTCACCCGTTTTCAAAGCAACATTTCCGCTTAACACATCTTTTCCAGAGGCCCCAAAAGCCTTGAGCATATTGAGAAATACATTTCTCATGAATTAGAAGATATAATTAAAATGTACTTCCTTAGTAGAAAAATACAGGCTGTCAAAATTATGTGCAAAAAAGGTAAGGACTCCCAGAGGTAGGGGGGTTTGGTTTGATGTTTGTTTCATCTGTTTTGTTATATTGAGGAAAAACTAAAAATCTGCCTAAATCTTGGGGCATGATTAAATTATGGGATATTTATTCATACAATAAAACTCTGTGTCACTATTAAAAACTACATTTTTAATAACAAATTCAAAAATGTCACAGTATAATATTAATAAAAGGCAAGTTATATATACATATACAAGGACCTCAATTATTTTTTAAATGCAGAGATTTACACTGGAAAAAAGTCTTTAAAAAAGTCACAGAAATATTAACTGGTTATCTTCTGTGGGTAGATTACAGGTAAATTTATTTTCTCTTTTAGGCTTTTTGAAATTTTTCAAATTTTCTCCTGGATGTATATGTTATGGCTTTTATAATCATACAAGGAAAAGTTTTCTTTCCTTATTGGTTTTTTTTTTTTTTTACTATCTCCTGGATCCAGCTCTTGCCCTCTGGCCTTTTCTCCCCCTAAGAACCCCCACCGCCCGCCAGACCGAGCAGGCGCCCTGCTCACCTCTGGCCCTCGGTAAGGCCTCCCGTTGACAATTTCAGGAGATGCGTAGAGGGGGCTGCCACAAAACGTCTGCAGGAACTTGTCCTTCTGGTACAGGTTGGAGAGCCCGAAGTCGGCAATCTACGAAAACAAGCAAGATCCAGAGAGGTGTGTTAGCATTGCAGTTAGTGTCTGCACCGGCTCGACTCACACCCCGCAGCACCGGGGCGGCTGAGAGGCAGCCGGTGGGTCTGCCGGCTGAGTCACCATTTTCTCCGCAGCCTGGGGTCTTCACGAAAGGACCAGTCACCAGGACTGGGCCAGTGATTCCCAGCTGCGGTCCTTGGCATCCAACACCAGTTCTGCCGCGTCTGCACACTGCCTGCTCTATTATTTAAAATTACCCATCACGGGGCCCTCTCTACCTTCGATTTAGACTTGCCTGAGAAACGTCCACAAATTCACAGACTTGGGATTTCTGATGAACAATGAAGTGCACAACTATTAATTTGAAAGCATTCATCTGTGGCCGACCTAAAATCACACCGCAGCTCGGTGGTGTGCAAATCACACTTCAGAAAACCCTTACCTGTGCACCTGACACCACCACCTTCTGACCCACCCACACTCTGATCGGAACCACAGTGGCCCACCTTGCAACCCTAGATGAAACGGACTCGGGACTCCACGTTCTGAGTCATCATATTTCAGCCATCTGCATGACATGGCACAGGGCCCTTAGCTACTCTGAGTCTCAGTTTACCCACCAGAAAATGGGAATCCATGATCCCTGTCCTATTCCAGCTCACAAGATTATTGTGAGAAGGATAAGAAAAACAAATCCATCCAGATGAGACCATGACTGCAAAAGCGCTTTATAACCTTCAGATCTTCACGTACCGTGCAAACGTCTCCTAACCGTGCTTCTCTTATATTGCACGCCCCATGAAGTCCTTCTCTTTCCCTTCAGTCTCTTGACGTGTTTTAATTATTATCCTTTGTGGCAGCACTCTTGCCTGTATCTATCTATATATGTGCATGTGTACATGTTTTTCCATACATATCACATATATACATGTAATGTATATATTATACACACACATATATATATGCATATTCATGTATGTTTTTCACCTTGCCTAGTAGATTGCAAGTCCCCTGAGATAGGTGGCAGGTTCCACATCTTTCCTTCACCTTTGCGTCACCAAATGCTTAGCACCTGCCTTTGCCTAAGAAATACCTGTCACTAGAATAGGCATTATATTTTCCAAAGCACAAGATAATTAGTAGATAATACAAAATAATGACCTTGGTTAGCACTGACTGAACGCCCTCCAAGTATCAAGCGCTGTTCTAAGCACTTTACACCCTCTAGTCCAATCCTATCCACAACCCCACTTAGACAGCATGTGAATGTACTTCCTGCCACTGAGCTGTTCACCTAAAAATTGTTCAAATGAAAATGGTGAATTTTATGCCATGGGTATTTGACCACATGTTTTTAAAAACCCATTTAACAGATGAGGAAACTGAGGTTTCGGGAGATAAGGTGGTTCAGCCCAGGCAAGCTAACTAGCAAGTGGCCATGTAAACTGTGTCTCTAAAGTCACCAACCACCAAGCCACTTGCCCCCTGGGCGACAGCAAATTTCACTCCACTCTAAGCCTTTCTCTGCAGCCCTGCGAGCTGAGCCACTGCGGGCCACTGCCGGTCCCCAGGCTGATTTCCATGTGGGGTTATAAACAGGCTGAGTGGTTCACTGGCGAGAGAGCAGCCCAGCCTGACTGACCGCAAATGCGCTGGGGCTCTGTTTTGAGCAAAACCCCCAGAATAAGCCTATTTTGTAAAAGTCAGCCTTGAATGAATGGAATGTCACTGAATGTAGCTGGGGAAAAGCCCCCCTCAGAAAATGCATTCTCGGGGTTCAGACTGCACTTAATTGCCCTGAATTCCACCTTCTTATCAAGGCCCCTGCCTGGTTTGCTTGCAGAGAGTTGGTTGGAAACTCTAGGAAGTGTGCCCTGTCAATCAGAAGAAGAGCGAAATGGCTGCCGTCCTGGGACAAACCCAGAAGTCACCGGCTTTGTCCTCGCCAACTGCCACTGAGGCAGGACCTGCGCCAGCACATCCTGCGGAATATAGGTCCCCTCCCCGCCCTGCAGTGTCTGTGGCGTCTGGGGTGCCTGTGAGCTTCCAAGTACACACACGTGTGCGTGCAGGGCACCCGCCAGCCCCACAAGGAAGCCCCTGCATGTACACGCTCACGCCGGGAGCTCTCCGAGTCTGGGCATCCTCGCTTCCTTGGTAGCCCTTCTCAGAGGCGTGTTTATGTTGTACCCAGTCCCACCCTCACAGACTGATCTTATCAGCCTCTCCCAGTAAAACTGTCAGGGCCTCTGACAGAAGATTAATAGAAATCTAGATTACTGCCAAGAGCGTCAACAGAAAAGCAATATTAATCAACGCATACACATAAATAGTTCTCAAACCTCAAGCCAGTTCAGCTTGGGCTATAGCTCTACAATTTCATGCCATGTGGAGTATATACGAAGTGGCCACTGGTTATGAAACTTCTCAAAGCCCCAAGGTCCCCAGTGGAAGTAGCAATAGTCTCTACCCCCACAGGGTCATGGTGAAAATTAAATAGCGTGATGTATGTAATATGCTCAGAACAGTAACAGGCACAGGGTTGAAGCTCAAGAAATGTCTGCTTCCCACCTTTAAACCCACAGAGGTAACTTTAGTAACTTCCTAATACTCACAATGACACTGGTTTTCTATTTAAGGGAATTATATGAGGCTTCTATTTCAAACAAATACAATTTTAAGAAGTGAACTGAACTGAAAATATTAAGTAGAATAACACAGGAGATACTAGTAAAAAGCAGAATCCAAGAAGAGAGTGAAAGAAAAGATATTTGGGGAATCTGGAAAAGCTAAAGCATGGGGAATAATGACTTTAAACATAAAACAAAAATAACCAAATCCCCACAAGGGTTTCAACCTGAAAGAGCCCTAACAGATGAGCTGATCCTGCCCCTTGTCTGTAAGGAAAGCACATGTCAGAGGACGTAAACGCGTTGCTAAAAGTCACAGGGACAGAACCACAGACGAGCACCAGGTTCTTCCCGACCTTGGTGCCTTCTCTGGAACAGAACATCAGCTGGGTGAGAGGGGGACTCTCCACCAGGGAGGAAGCTGGGCTTCGCCTTTAAAGTGGTATTTTGCTGACACACCAGTCCCCTGGGGGGAAAGGTAGCTACTTTGCACTGTGTGTGTGTGCGTGTGTGTGTGTGTGTGTGTGGTGATGGACTGTTCCCTTCTGTCCCCACACTGGGTTTAGTGCAGCCTAGACTCTGAAAAATGACACTAGGAAGTCAACACTTGTGCCCTTAACTTGTGGAATTTTTGTCATCATCAAGCCTTTCTAGAAGTGTGCCCTGCTGGTGAAAATGAGTGTGAGAAAGATAAACTAGGAAAAGATTATTCACATTTCAAAAGCATTAACCTGACTACAATGTAGCTGAAACTTGAAGACACTGGGCTGGGGGAAAGAAGCCAGGCACAACAGGATAATGATGTAATTCCATCTATATGTGGTACACCAAGTCGTCAAATCCCAGTAAAATGATGGTTTCCAGGGGCTGGGGGTGGAGAAGGGCGTGGGGAATTGTTTCTAGTGGGCAATACAGAGTTTCAGTTGGGGAAGGCACAAACGTGCGAGTGTAGTTAATGCCCTGAGCCATATGGCAAATAAGGGCAAATGTTATGGCATGTATATCTTACCATATAAAAAAATGGATTAACCCCAAATCACATGAATAGTCACTGTGAGCTCACCCAATAAAAAAGTACCAGCTTGCTGATGATTAACTCCTGGGAAAGCCTGCTGATGGTCATGACAAGATAAGCGATGGCCTGACGGTCATGTGCAGTGTCTAAGAGGAAATACAGCAGACTGAACAGAAGACTGAACAGATCAGAAGTTTAGGAGCCAGGAGAACCTGGAGCTAGCCCTGGACTTAGAACCACTAGGTGGTTGGTGGGACCTGCCAAGTTACTCCATTGCCTCATCTGTGAAGTGGGAACAATAAATAATGGACCCCACCACATTAAAAGTGTTGTGAGGATCAGAGAACACTCACGTGAAGCCCTGATGTAATCCTGGTCCCAGCCGACTCCAAAATCACAGCTGTTACGATAGTGCTGATACAATAATAATACTTAACATTCTTTGCTGGGCAAGACACAGAACTGAGAGCACTAGGCCACTGCCCACCAAAGAACCGAAGAAATTGTCACGATCCACTTCTGAAACAAGCACGAGAGGCTGCACTGCATGAGGGTCTGAGTTCCAATCCCAGCCTCAACTCTTCCCAGCTCCAACCTTAGGCCCATTAGTCAATCCCTCCCTCCATCACCGAACTCCGAGGACCAGCAGCATGGGCCGGGGCTCGGAGCGGGTCAGTAACAGCACTGCAGGCCCCACCCATGCCAGGCCTACGGAGTCAGGCTGCATTTTAACAAGATCCCCAGGTCATTTGCCAAACATTGGTCACTCTGAACCTGGGTTTTTTTTTTTCACCCATATGATAGGGAATGATAATAATATAACCTACTTTGTAGGGCTGATGTATAATCAAATGAATGATAGATGGAGGCCTCACACGGCCTCCAGTAAATGTCAGCAATTACAACTTTAACATCTGAGTCTCAGTTTCCTTCGCTGGAAAATGCAATGCAATAGCAGCAACCGCGTGATGTGGTGGTGAAGCCAAAATCTGATGAAATGAGATCATGATAACGACAAAAGATAATGACAACAGCAGCATCGCTACAGGCCAGGTGCCGTTCTGTGGGCACTACATGCACTAATGCATTAAATCCTCACCACAACCCTATGAGGAGGGGACCATCGTTATCCCCATTTTGTAAATGGGGAAACTGAGGCCCAGCGTGGAGACACGCGTGGTTGGAGATGTGGAGGAAGAGCTGTCCTGGCTGTAAAGCTCCCCATCAGGGAGAGTTATTGCTGTCAGGTGGCCGAGGAGAAAGCGGCGTTCTGCAGAACTCTTCAGGAAGACAGCGACCCCGTGGAGGAAGACCCACTCCACAGCTCCTTCCCGGCCTTGGAATTAATG